CTTTGCATGAAATGTTCCCTTAGTATCTCTAATTTTCTTGAAGAGATCTCTAGATTTACCCATTCTATTGTTTTCCTCAATTTCTTTGCACTGATCACTGAGGAAGGCTTTCTTATCTCTCCTTGCTATTCTTTGGAACTCTGCATTCAAATGCATATATCTTTCCTTTTCTCCTTTGCCTTTGATCACTTGGCAGTGATCAAGACCATCCCCAAGCAAAAGAAATGCAAAAAGGCAAAAATGGTTGTCTGAGGAGGCTTTACAAATAGCTGTGAAAAGAAGAGAAGCTAAAGGCAAAGGAGAAAAAACAGTACATGTCTTGAGTAAACTCAGGAAAGAGATTTAAGAGTTGAGGCAGGTTTACATCTGGCCCCTACCTGTTTACAGGTCCTCTTAGGGTTTTGCTCCATTTCCTCTTTCCTGGGTGGAGCTGAGCTGGGCTGGGGGTATCCTGTGGGGAGATGCCTTCAGTTCCTGGCCCCTCTTGCCCCAGCCTCCACTCTTTCTCCTGCTCCTATGGGCCTCATCAGTCTGTTTCTGGTGGGAGGATAAGTGGGGGGATAAGGGTGCCTGGTGCTGACTGGTGCCCACCTCCTCTATTGCTAGTGTCCACTAAGACTGCAGGCTCCTTCTCCCCTACTATCCTGAGGGTTTGTTCACAAGGCGTCTCTTTTGTTCTCTCCCTCCTCAGTCAGGCCTTGAAACCTTGAATAGAATGAGTGATGTCTAAATTGACACTGCACCCCCTTGGAGCAAACAGAATCTCGTACACAGACCAGCATATAGGCAAGCCTCCTCAGTGTCGGCAGCTCTCTCCAACGGCACTCGCCCTGGGCTCTCAGATCCTGACCCAGGAGGGTTTCTGCTGCTCCCCAAGTCACCTTCAATCTGCATGGGCAGGGGGTGGGTGTGGGAGGAACCCAGGGCCCAGTCAGGATCTGAGCCTTCTGCACCCACACCCGCCTCCCACGCCAGCCTTGAAGGGCCGTCCGCTGCAGGGAGAGTGGGCCTAGGGTAGGAAGGGACATGGAATGTGTGGATGGCACCAGCTTTCAGATCCTGTGTTCCCTCAGCTGCTTTGAACTCAGATGGGAGAATGTGTCTTTACTGCCTGGCTTCTGCCGGCAAAGCACCCACAGGCCAAATTTGCAGGGGCCGAAGGGGCCCAAGGGAGGAGGGCGAAACAGACATGGGTCCGTATTTGCTGACATAAACACTTTATTCATTATAGCAGCTTGTGTTTGTCACATGGGATTCAAGCAGCCCGTCCTGCAGAGGAGGCTCCTGGGGCCCCACCCTCCGCCCTGTCGAGGGCTCTCTGGGAGGCCAGCCAAGTTCGAATGCCCTCTGGACAGCATCTGCATGTCCACCTTTGGGAGAGGGGAGGTCCTGGCACCAGCAGAGGGGCTCCTGGAGCTTGTGAGAGAGACAGCAGCTTGTGGAGGGCGGATGATCGGCCGGTCAGCAGCAGGGCTCCGGGGCCGAGGCAGAGACGCAACAGGCGGGGCGGCACACGGGGCGGCAAAGCAAGGACACAGAGGAGGCCGGGCGGCAGCAGTTGGGCTGGCAGGAGGCGGCGGGCACGCAGCAGGCGGGGCGGCACACAGGCCGGCAGAGCAGGGACACGGAGGAGGAGGGTCTGCAACTGACCGAGGAGCAGGGGTTGGGCTGGCAGCACAAGGAGGCTGAGCAGGGGGAGGACTCACAGCACACGGGCCTGCAGCAGACGGGCCTGCAGCAGACAGGCCTGCAGCAGACAGGAGTGCAGCAGACAGGCGTGCAGCAGACGGGCCTGCAGCAGACGGGCTCACAGCAGGCCTGCTGGCAGGGGGAGGAGGTGCAGCAGGAGGGCTGGCAGCTAGACGTCTGGCAGCATGAGGCCAGGCAGGAGCTGCTGCAGACTGGCTGGCAGCAGGGGCTGGACTCGCAGCTCACTGGGGCGCAGAGGAGGGTCAGGCGGGGGGCCGGGGTGCAGCAGCTGGGGGCACAGCAGGAGGGCTCGCAGCAGCTCTCTGGACAGTCGTCCACCTGCCAGGAGGAGCCGGTGCAGGAGTCATAGGACCGGGGCAGGCAGACCCGGCTGTCGTAACTCAGGTCACTGGAGCAGACGGACAATGCGGAGGCGGCCATGGTGGAGGTGGTGGGGTTGGAGGAGGTGTGAGTGTGTATGAGTGTGAGTGAGTGTGAGTGTGTGAGTGAGGGGCTAGAGGATGTCTGCTTTTATACCCGCCCTGGGTATGCACGTGGCCCTGGTTGGAGGCTCCCACGCCCTCCCTTCCTTGTTGCTGTTTGGAGCTGGTTGCACGAGACCCTCATTAGGGCTGCTGTGTTTTCTACAATTAGCTTTTACTCATTAAACATGTGAGTACGCTGCAAGAGTCTGTTTTCCCATCTGTTCTTTGTTTGGCTCCAGAAAACTTGTGGAGAATACAAGACGCAAGTTTCTGCTGAACGACTGCCAGGGTTCTTAAGTCATGTTCACGGAGGGAGGGGCTGAGCAGGAGATAAGTTCCCAGCCACTGCAGCCCCTCCCCACTTCACGCCAGCCTCAACAGTGTGAGAATACATAGGGAAAGATGCCTAGCTTTACCGCAGCCCAAACTATACCTAAGAGCAATACTAAGAAGATAAGCTGTGAGCGAAATAGTAAACTTGATCAAAGAACACACACAACATATATCCACTGGGACCCGAGAGCTGTGAGCAAGAAACTCAAAGCTGTAGACTGAATCGCCACTCTTTCTGGATCAATCCATCACTGATGTAACTTCAATCAGAATCCAAAAGAAATATTGTTGGCATATAAAGTGAAGATATTGAACTGCCAGAAAATATTTGCAGTATAGAATTTAAAAGTCTTTACAACTAAAGCAGGATATGATACCAAAGAATCAAACACAAACACACAGTTTATTCAAATTTCCAATCAATGTATGAAAAGCTACTGGATATCACTGATAATTAAAGTCTCTAAAACACAAGTGTCCCACCTACAAGATCAGCCAAGATTTACAACACTGATAATACCCGGTGCTGCACAGTCTGAGGTCCTCACTCTTCTTTAAAAATTACTTGGCTAATTTTTCGTTGAGCTGGGTCTTTGTTGCTACATGTAGGCTTTCTCTGGTTGTGGTGAATGGGATTTACTCTTTGTTGCAGGGTGCATGCTTCTCTTGGCAGTGGCTTATCTTATTGTGGAACACTGGCTTTAGGACATATGGGCTTTGGTAGTTGTGGTATGTGGGCTATTCCCAGACCAGGGACCAAACTTAGGTTCTTTGAATTGGCAGGTGGATTTTTAACCACTGGATCACCAGGGAAGCTCTGGGGCCTCCCTGTTAGAAATCCTTAGCAGGTATGTTTTTTATTACAGGTAACAAATAATATAAAATTAACCATTTTAAAGTGTTCAAATCAGGAGCATTTAGTACAGTCACAACACTGTACAACTATGACCACTATGTAGTTCCAGGACATTCCCAAAAGGAAATCTTGTAGTATTAAGTAGACCTTCCCCAGTCCCTGTCAATCACTGCTCTGCTTTCTGTCTCTATGGCTTTGCCTGTTCTGCACATTTCATATAAAAGGAATCACACAGTAGGTGGCCTTTTGTGTCTGACTCCAACGTGGCATAATGTTTTTAAGGTCCATCTACTTTGTAGCATACATGTGTACTCCCTCCTTTTTTATGACTGAATAATATTCCTCATAGAAATAGACCACATTTTATTTATCCGTAAGTCAATGGACATTTGGGCCATTTACACCTTTTGGTTTAAAAGATGCTTGCTCCTTGGAAGAGAAGCTATGACAAACCTAGATAGCATATTAAAAAGCAGAGACATTACTTTGCCAACAAAGGTCCGTCTAGTTAAAGCTTTGGTTTTTCCAGTAGTCANACAGCAGCTGTGCCATTTTACATTTCTACTGGCAATGTACAAGGATCCCAATTTCTTTACATGCTCATCGAGACTTATTTTCTATTCATTTATTTGTTTGTTTTAAATTACAGCCGCCCTAGTGGACATGAAGTGATATCTCCTTGTGTTTGACTTGAATTTCCCTAATGGCCAATGACATTGTAATTCTTTCTTGGGCTTGTTTGTGTATTTCCTTTGGAACAATGTCTATGATAGCACTTTGTCCATTTTAAATTAGGTTGTTCGTCTTGTTGTCCAGTTATAGGCATTCTTTATGTACTCTGACTACTAGGCCCTTTATCAGAATTATTTTTTTGCAAATATTTCCCCTCATCTTGTGGGATGTCTTTTCCCTCTCTTGACAGTGTCCTCTGATAGACTTTTAAAATGCTGATGAGATCTGATTTATCTGCTTACCATGCACTGAATGCTGGGTTCAGGTGCTCCAGCAAACACAGCACGTGTGTTGTAGCAGCTGCAATTGGGGCTACTCATTGGTGGGTTTGCAGTAATTCTTTGTCATTTCCGAGGATCCAACTGGTTTTTGTAGACTGGTGAGTGGAGATGTTATGGGGAACCACCCCCATATCCTTCAGGTCTTTAAAGCAGCACTAATTTCTGCCACTCTCCCAGGTTGCAATGCTGATTTTGAAGCACTCTCCTGACCCAGGGCACAGGGGAAGCAGTTTCAGAGGCTTATCTTTGATAATATGAGAATTCCTTCCAAAGTTTGGAATGAATGTGGGGCTGTTTTAAACACCAGGGACTTCCATTCCGATTACACATCCCGAGACATAGGAATGACCTCTGAGTTGGTCTGTGGGCCTGGACTTGAATAAAGATGTTGCTTCCCTCTGTCCTATGGACACAGAGCCCATAAGGTTGTTTCAGGACTGAACTCTGTGCTCAACCGTCCTCAAAATGTTGGGGTTCTTCTCTGCCCTAGTATTGTTGCATGGGTGAATGCTGGGGGTGGGGAAAAACTGGAATAATTCTTACTACATAAACTTGTCTTGGGGCTTCCCAGGTGGCTCAGTGGTAAAGAATCCGCCTGCCAATGCAGGAGACACAGGTTCAATCCCTGGGTTGAGACGATCCCCTGGAGAAGGAGATGGCAACCCACTCCAGTATTCTTGCTTGGAGAATCCCATGGACAGAGGAGCCTGGAGGGCTGCAGTCCATGGGGTTGCACAGAGTTGGACGTAACCGAGTGACTGAGAAAGCATGCATGCACACTTCTCTTGATTGCAGGGTTCTTCTGAGGTGGGAGCACTTACATCAAGAAAATTGGCAAACACTGCAGATCACCATCTTTTTTCAGGAAGCTAGATTCCATCACTCGTATACTCTTCAAAATCTGTAAAACAAAATACCCACCCCCCAAACAAAACCGTTAAAATAGCAGAAATCTAAGATGGTTGAATGGGAAAGGGAGGGAGTCACCCCAATAGAAAGCTTGATCCTAGATCCGGGCCAGTCCTCAGACAGGAACACCTTGATCATGTCCAGTATCAAGTTACTAGTAGTTTAACAGCCAGTTTGTGAAATTCCTGAATAGTTAATACTTGACTCTTGCCACTTAGTACAAGTCAACTCCAGACGGCTCCAGTGTGATTGCTGGCAGTAACCTGACTGGCTGTATATCACTTTCTCATGTATTCTGAGAACCACCTGCAATAACTCCCTGCAAGATTTATGCACAGAGGTCTGGCTTGCATCACAGTCCCCTCCACCTGTTTTTTTAATTTCCCTGATGGGTTAATAGTTTACTAAGTTTTGGTTTATCTTTCCATTATTTTTTTCAAATGTGACCAACAATCTGTGTTTGTTTATTCTCCTTTCTTACAAAAGTGATAGCCTTTTATACACCCTGGTCGGCACCTTACTTTTCCCCTCATCTACACATCCTGGAGCCCACTTGAGGGCATGTACTGAGACCTCCTTCACTCCTTCTTAGAGCCTCACAGCACTCCATGTATGAATGCAGCATAGTTAGTGGATGGACAGTTGTTTTCCTTCATACCCTTTACTACTTTGAGTAACACTGCAGTGAACAGATGGTCACTGTTCAGTCGCTTAGTCATGTCCTACTCTTTGCGACCCCACGGGCTGCAGCATGCCTGGCTTCCCTGTCCTTCTCTATCTCCCAGAATTTGCTCAAATTCATGTCTGTTGTGTCGATGATGCCACCCAATCATCTCATCCTCTGTCGCCCCCTTCTCCTCCTGCCCCCAGTCTTTCCCAGCATCAGGGTCTCATGTACTAACTTTGCCAGTGTATCTTTGGGATGCAGTTCTAGATTTTAGTGCTTACTGTTTATCACTGGATGAGGGGTGGTGGTGCTCAATAGTGTCTGACTTTGTGACCCCATGGACTGTAGCCCGCCAAGCTCCTCTGTCCATGGAATTTCACAGGCAAGAATATTGGAGTGGATTGCCATTTCCTACTCCAGGGGATCTTCCCAACCAAGGGATCAAACCCACATTTCCTGCATCTCCTGCATTGGCAGACAGATTCTTTACCACTGTGTCACCTGGGAAGCCCTAAAAAAGTATAATAAAACATGAAAAACTCCAAACAGTAAAATTTAGGTTTACAATTCAAAATCAAATTAGTAGAATATTAAATATTCATAAAACCATATCTTTAAAAAATAATTATAAAGTTACCTTCAATTATATATACAGGTTATTTCAGCTATATCTACTTATTCAAAGAGTAGACATTTTGTAAAACAAAAATTCTCTCTGTTTACATATGCATAGATTAGGTTTCCCTTCATTTTTAAATCTGATCCTTAAAGATATTTTTAACAGATTGCCTACAATAAATTGCTCGGCCACAATCAATTTTATGCATCCAGGTGATTACACCTAGTATAGAATAAATGGGAAAAATAAATTTTTAAATTACTCCTTGATGTTTTTGGATATGGTGCTTTTATCAACATTTATATTCCATCAGGAGAAGCTGTAGAAGCATCTAAAAAGAATTCTAAATCCCAGAGTTCTTGTCAATTCTATCATTTCAGTAAAAAACAATCCTTATTAGAATCACAAAGCAATTTCATGCAAAAATAATTTTAAATCCATCCAAAAAAAAAAAACTGTCATTGAATCCCAAATTGACTTGCCTGTGTTTTAAATTNAAAAAAAAAAAAAAAAAGTAAAAAAAGTAATTGCCCTTCGAATGGATAAATAAATGCATGAA